CCCAAAAATTGCAGATGACTGCATGACTGTATGACTGCAGTGCAGCCGAAGGACGACATAGTCTCATACTACTGAAGAAAACGGCATAGCCTCACAGCTCCGAAAGGAGCACGCCCAGCCGCCGGCTACGGCCGAGGAACGTCCCAGCCGCTGGCTACGGCCGAGGAACGCCCCCAGGCCGACCATAACCGCCAGCTGCGCCGTGCTCACGACCAGGACGGTGGCGGTGACGAGAAGAAATCAGACCGAGAGCGCCGGGGGACAGCCCATGCAGACTGAACGGAAGAAATACTACCCGAGAGACTAATGTGAGTCTGATGTTCACGAGTTTGACTTAATTTATGTTACTCACTGGTTCAGTTTTCTTCATTTTAAATAATTTCTTCAGCAGGGAAAATATTAGTCCTGGAGTTCATTTGTTGTGTCGTCCAAGCTCAGGCAGAGATATGTAAAACTAACCAGCTGCGTTAGAGTTCAGTTCACCAATCACAGCTGAGTGAGGTTTGATCTGATTGAATTGGATTCGATTTCGATTACATTCACCCCTCCATCCCTAGGTCAACTACTGATTTGGCAGAAATGATGTGATTTCTTTGCGTGTTGTTACTCATTCGTCAGCACTCCATTTCTCGTCGCCGAGACAAGATATGGAATCCAATCCACACAAACGGCCGCGCAGCTTTCAATAAAGCACTTTCCATTCATTGTTTGCCGGCGCGCTGGCACGGCCTGGCTCTCGCGGTCGGTATTTCGGGCAGCGTTCCGGCACGGTCGGCCTGCCCACATCCCTCATGCCAGCAGTGCCTCCGAATAGGGCTCCTTTGTTCCTCGCGTCTTTCGAGATCATCCCAACGGCACATAAGGAAGCCAGCAATAACACATCGAGAGATGGCGACCAAGTGCCGCAGAGGGAGCCACAGACCGTTGTGAGAGCACTGACAGACGGCTAGAAAAGCAGGACCGGGCTGCGGCGACCGTCTCTGAGACTGGCGGCAGAGGTAAGTTCGAGCACTGGATAAACAGTGCCTCGGTCTCCGCGGAGGCTGACGCAGCGACAGGCGCACGGCTATATTGATCCCGTTCGTCGGATCGGGTACTTCTGCTCACCTGGGTACAGAGCTATCGACGGCCACTGCTGCTCACCTGGGTATAGAGCTATCGATTCACTCCGTCTCGATAAGGGCGGGTCTGGCAGACGGGGCATATTGCCTTGCACGGAGCTGATAAACGGGACTGACCACCGGTGCAGGTACGGAGTTCCCAGCAAACGAGAACCGCAGGGGAAGGAAAAGGACGCAAGCCTATACTGACTAAGGGTTCCATGGGCATGAAAACAGTATAAGAATATTATACCAAGGCATATTTCCAATAAGACGCGATGGTCAAATGACAAATCAGGGTATTCGACTTATTGACTGTAATAGAATTTAAACAACCGAACACCAGTAGCGCCCAAAAGTCTCTCGTTTATTCACAAAATTCTCCAAACAAATTTGCACGTACAATTATTTCCGCGTGGAATAATTTCACGCACTTCAATAATCATACCACTTCTGACACACGCCCCTCTGATCTTCAAGATCACTAAAACGCACACACACAAAATATCAAAAATATTATCTTCGGTCATAAAACCGCGGCCAAACCGTGCACCTTAATCGGTCAACAAACCGGAGCACTCGCCGCTCACCACCCGGGCACCATCACCGGGCACCATCGCCGGTCTCCAGCACCGGTCTTCATTACCGGTCTCCAGCACCGGGCTCCATCACCGGGCTCCTCCAGCACCGGTCTCCAGCACCGGGCTCCACGACCAGTCACCATCACCGGGCTCCATAACCGCGGTCTCCAGCACCGGGCTCCATCACCGGTCTCCATCACCGGGCTCCATCGCCGGTTACCATCACCGGACTCCAGCACCGGTATCCAAACTGGACAAAATCGAATCGATCGTTGGTTCGTTGTCGTGTCTTGCCTCTTCGCCATTTTTAGCTTTCTTTATCTTCCCTGTCGAATTTTCCCTTATTTATACAATACCGTAACTAGACCGAGATAAGGCCGAAATAGCTTGTAATAGAATTTAAACAACCGAACACCAGTAGCGCCCAAAAGTCTCTCGTTTATTCACAAAATTCTCCAAACAAATTTGCACGTACAATTATTTCCGCGTGGAATAATTTCACGCACTTCAATAATCATACCACTTCTGACACATTGACTGAACACTGACGGAAGTTCATCATTTCCCTCCCCTCCATACCTCTAAGATTTACCTCGGAACACTTATCACGTGAACAACGGCTTGCTCCTGTGCTAAGCTCGCGGCTGAACTCGGCCCGCTGCTCGGCCGGTCGATGTTCTCTCCTGTCCGTGTGCTCCTGCCATGGGGCGGAGTCGGTGGCACGTCGTCTGTCTCAGGGGAGTGACGCGGTGCCGCCCGTCGTCCCGCGCGCTGACACCGGGAGAGACGGAGCGGCAGCTGGCGGGCTGATACGGCCGGGCCGCGGCAACAGGACGGATAGAAAGCCGGCAAGACAGCGGGTACTGGACACGCGGAGGGATGAGGCGGCAACCCGACACGGTAGCTATCGCTCGCTTATAAATACCTACTGGGTCATCGCACGAATATTATATCTATGAGAGATATGTTCGACAGGGTGTGAAGTAGAGTGTGGCATTGCACTACCACCGAAGTGTATGTAGACCGGAGCGTTCAGCTCGGCTCGGCCTCGGCTCGTTCAGCTCTCAGCTCACGTTCAGCTTGACAGCGAAGGCAGCGATACAAATTTGCGTACCGATCGCTAGATGGCAGCAAAGTCGCGCGCCTGTAACTATACTGTACCGCACAACACCAATCGCAGCACAAGGATGTAGGGAAAGGGGAAGACACGGAGAGAGAGAGAGAGAGAGAGAGAGAGAGAGAGAGAGAGAGAGAGAGAGAGAGAGAGAGAGAGAGATGGGAAGGGAGGGAGAGAGGGGGCATAGAGAGAGTAGAGAAAGGGAGGGAAAGAGAGGGAGAGAGGGAAAGATAGAGAGAGAGAGAGAGGGGAGAGAGAGGGGAAGAGAGAGGGGAAGAGAGAGAGACAGAGAGAGAGAGAGAGAGAGAGAGAGAGATGGGAAGGGAGGGAGAGAGGGGGCATAGAGAGAGTAGAGAAAGGGAGGGAAAGAGAGGGAGAGAGGGAAAGATAGAGAGAGAGAGAGAGAGGGGAAGAGAGAGAGACAGAGAGAGAGAGAGAGAGAGAGAGAGAGAGAGAGAGAGAGAGAGAGAGAGAGAGAGAGAGAGAGAGAGAGAGAGAGAGAGGCGGAGTAAGGGAGTGAGGCATACCTATGTGAGAGCCAACAACAAATAAAAACCAACCAGAATACCTGCAAATCTGGAACATGAATAGGTCTTTACCCAACAGAAGTTACCGCGATTGAGCCTGAAAGCTCGCAATGCGAAAGCCAACTGAAAAGACCTGCCCGTAATACGTACATACAGTCAGTCGCACAGCTCTCGGGCATTGAGCGCAATTCAAGGATAAAATGCGAGCTCCAAGTTTCAGCTGGCTGAACCACGGCGGTATTTATGTAACAAGAACCTCTGAACGGACCTGTTTGACAGAAAGGCTACTGGGACGGTCTCACAAAACGGTGCATGAAAATACCGATGGGAAGTCACCATTATTGTCACCAGACGAAGACGGCAACGCCTGTTTCCGCCTTCAATTATCAAATGTTTTTAACGTATGATTGCATGATACACGTTTTATTTTTGTTGGATTTATTCAGCTGTAGGTGTTGATTCACAAACATCTGAAACCAAAAACTATATCTTAGCGTAGCTCAGCATTTAACATTCAGGAGAAGCCTACACAAAATGATAACTCTCTGGTCGCTCCTCACAGCTTCATAACTCGTCTGCGTGCCCCACGCGGCTGGGGCATAAACAGGATATGTCGGCTGCGGGCTGACTAGCGCCGCGTCCCGATAGCGCCCTCCCTGGACATAAATCGTGCGCCGCCTGCAGCACGCCTGTTGCCAGTGGAGCAAGTCGCGCCGCGACCCGAAACGACAACCCGGTCAAAACACGCCGAGAGAGACACAGCAGACAACTTCATCAAAACAGAGCTCCGGCTGTGGCAAACGGTCTGCAGTATTTATGGTGCACCTGACGCGGTCTGGGCGTCTACATTAGTGCATTAGTCGGATATGTCCATCCGTTGATGGCCGGGTGTGGAGAGGCGTCATTATATCTGCACGTACCCTCATTCACAATCTCTCCCTAGTTCAGCTTCATGTCAGTCTCAGTGCCGAAATGTGAAATAATGCAGCCGCCACCACATCACTAATGGAGGGCCGTCGGCCGCGCCCAACAGACCACTGCGTGTGAGTGGCGTGCCGCAGCCGCCGCAGAGCCCAAACTTAAATACTTGAAGCGGTTAAACAGAAGAGCCAGCTCAAACTTGAAGTGATCGTCGACAGGCCGGAGGCTAAGTGCGGAAGTTGGACGGCAGAGGTCGGCGGACGGTCGGTTAGCAGCCATCCCACGGACGCAAACTTCACGTGGAGTCCGTCCGTCTGTTCCTCTGTCTGTATGCTTGTGCGCCAGAGTAGAGGTCGCATCCCTCGGGCAGCCCGTCACCACCCAGAATTTGCCTCCCTGTCATCTGACAGATCGTTACTACCACGCCGCGCCACCGGCCTCCCCAAGTCCCACAGGTGATATGAATGGCTCACCACTTCGTTTGATACCCAGCCTTCGCCCGCCCCCGCGGCCTCTCAGCTCAGCCTAGCGTCAGAGCAGAGTGAGGCAGAGCCTCGGCTGTCAGTCGGGTGATTCGACTGAAGGCGGAAGTCGCATATTGGTGTCGTGAGTCTGTTAGTGTGGTCGTTTGTCTGCTGCTCAAAGATATATTAGAGACTTGGCACCACGCCTGGCGGAACCTTCTCATTTACAATGAACTCCGTACATTGCAGCTCACTGAGCACGAAAGCTGCAAAGCAACATCGCCGGCTGAGTATAAGAAGGAAGTGAAAATCCAGCTGACCCACCTACGCATAAATAACAAGAAGTAAATAACAAAAAATAGCACACCGGAAATGGCTTGTGGAGATACTATCACAATTCTAAACTGACCCAGGGGTAATCACTTCTGATTCGGTAGACGTTCATCTTATCATCTATCCGGTGTTTCATACATGATTCAGCGCGGGTAACCAGACATGTGTCTGAGTGCTGGTGGTACTCACATTGGGTTGGTGGCGTTCCAGAAGACATTGATGCGGTGTGCAGGTCCAGGCCCCACCAGCCTGAACAGCAGCAGTAGCCACAGGGAGAGAGCGGAAGGCTGCATGGCGACCGGCTGTCAGCGCATGTCCCTGAAACTGAGGGAAAGACAACGGTTAGAACAGTTTTCACTAAAGAACAAGCAAGAGTCAGAACTGCGACACAAACATTGGGCAGTTAGTAAACTGGAGCATAGTTGTTCCTATATTGGTCCTTGACATAACTAGTTGCACAATTGAAGTTGGAAGCTAAAAACATATTTCGAACACCACATGATTCAGAAACACCCCCGCTAGGCCGATGAGAGCTTGACCTATCAAACAATAACGAGTCACAGTTAAACAAACATTGCACATAACTATTGCAGGATGCACGTGGCATTTAATCATTGTTCAGTGTGGCCTTTGGTGCAAACGATCAAACGCCATTCACTGTCGTTAACGGTTTATAACAGCATCCCAAACAAACACCCACCCCCGGAATGTATAACATAGAAAGAACGGTAGTCGTTCAGCAGGGGGAGGGGTGGCAGGCGATCAATGTCGCGCAACTGAGCGTCGAATCGTGACACGCTATCACCGACCGAGCAAAAACGTAAACAGCGTCTCCATCAAACCGTGCCCAAACAAACACCACCGGGAGGCAGCCCAGTGGCGCGACGGTGCAAAAAGTTGGCGATGGCCGCGAAATCACTGCGTCAATAGCAATGGCCGGCGGCCCGTGGCACACAGATTATCGTCAGATGTCGGCAGCGCATTACTGGCGCCGTTACCATGGCAACCAGTGCGCACTGCCGATGCTAAAAAGCCGCAGCGGCCGGCGGCGGTCGGCCACGGGTGGTTGCTCGCCATGGCTCGCCAGGCCGGCGGTGCTGCACAGAGAGGATATTCGCAGCCAATAACGGGGCTAATCGGAGACAGGGTGTTGGCATGTGTAAAATGATTACACACCAGCCATTTAGAAGTTCTGATATCATTACGTAGCTATGAGGAAAATCACGAAATAAATGACCAGCTACATTATCAACAGAAGGGAATGCGATGCAATCAGGAATCATCCATTATCGATTCAAACGGAAACTCAAATCCCCTTAGCAATGATTTGTCATAATTGACAGAAACAATTGAAACAAATTGTATGCCAGTAAATTAGTGCATATAACAACCTACAACGTTAACAACAAACCTTCAATGCTCTGCAAAAGTCTGGTAAGACAACAACCAGCTGAGAGAAAAGTAGGGCCCGCAGCTAAGAACTGTGTCGGCGGATTGTCACGCCGTAATCCACTCGGTCGAGTGTCTGTTGGTCGCTGATGTGCCACTGGCAGGGTATTGTCACAACTTTGCCGAGCACCTGTCTGGCAACGACAGCCTGAGAGCTCTCCTCTCGGCCTGAAACTCAAACGGCCGCTACCAGACGCCAACTTTGTCGCAGCATCAGCGTTTATGTTCATTGTTCGTCGGAAAAGATGAGACGGGTTAAACACGTGGTCTTCAAAAGACTGCACAAGATGAGCCACGCGCCGAAATACAACCGTTGTGATAAAATGTTCTATGGGACACGAATGGCGTTATATGTGATATATGTTATAAGCTACGTTATGTGATTGTTTCTATGTGTTGATGACTGTTATCTTGTGAGTATTCTGGTCATATTTATAAAGACAATACCCTTATGAAATCAGTCGCTTTTGTGTGAATATCGACGAAACATAACAAAAGTGAGGACGAACTAACAGCTTGATCTGCACTCTACATGGTTTGCGGTGGACCGGAGGGGCTGGAGGTTGATTTCTTCATCACTCGGGACTGCGTCTCGTCTCCGCGGCTGTCGTCCCAAGTTAGCTGTCCCAGTAGCGGCGCCGCACAGAGTTTAATCACGCACATATTGTACAGACCACCGAGTTGGGAATTTAAACGAAGCCAATGGTTGGCTTTGAGGAACTACGAATTTTTGGAGCGCGCCAGAGACTCAGGCTGTAAGAAATATTGGAAACCAGTTTGATTGAAATGTTTTCCATCTGAAGACAGAAATTGCTGGGGCATCGAAGCATTGCTGCAGCTATCTGAATGCTGCGTGAAAAAAATGTGGGTTAGACTTGGATGTAAAGACAACACCAGAAATAAAAAGTCACTGATTAAACGGGCCTATCTGAAAAAAAAAAACTTTTAATAGAAGATCCGCCAGTCTGCTGCAGTGTTGTGTAGATGCCAAAGACGGGTTGCAAGCATCGGCTATCATTCATTCCTGGCCTTGCTCAAGATTTGGCAACACTTGTACTCTTGTTTCTTTGGTTGGTATTGAACTGGTTCCCGTAATATTTATCCTTGACAACCTTAATTATAAAACATAATATACACCATTTATGGCTTCGCTAAATCGCGATGACAGCATAGGCACACAAGTGCTTCCTAAGCGCCACGATCGCTAACAAAGCAAGGGCGTCACTGCACTGCATAATTTAACTAGTCGATTCTAACAATAAAATACGCGGAACGCTGAATCAGTTCATTAAATCAAGTGGTGACATTGCGAAACCATGGCATTAGCTCGACATGTGAGTCAACCCCTGAGTGATTGTCCGCCAATCCGCGCCCAGCTCTGCTATCAGTACCCCTACTCAGTCCACGGGGGACCGTCGAGGTCGCAAAGTCACGCCGGCGCTCCCTTCTTCCGATTCATTTAATGCCGGCGGTAATGACGGCCAAAATCGAGCCGCCGCGCGAAGCGGCGTACGAGCGAGCAGGCTGAGTAATTGTGCCATCCGAACGCGCGGTTTGTTTGGCAGCTGCGTATCGTTTCTCCGTCAGCGGAGGCCGGCGAGCGTTATGGTAATTAAATGGGGTCCTGAGAGCGCCCCCGGCAGAGAGCGAGCGGGCGCAGATCGTCCGTCGATGAACTGTCGTCGCCAGAAGAGGGGACCGTCGACAGGAGGGCCGGCCGGCCGGGCCGCGGCTGTCTGCCGCCTCTACCCCCTGTCCACTACCCCGGTCTGGTCCCCGGTCCCCTCGGCTATACATTTCCCAGTGTCGCTACATGGCAATACAAGCAGACGTGCCACTTACGGAATCCACCAGACCGGAACAGAGAGAACGGAGGACGCAGAGAAATCTGATGTCGCACGAAGAGAGAAGGAGAGGGGAGATGCCCGATCGTTCACGGCTTCGACGATTCTCGCAGATACAAAGATTTTGTATGAGCCACAAGTTGGATGCGACGACTTAACAAAACAAATGTAGAAGATGGTCACATCAACTAATAATGTTGCACAATTACATTAATGCACAACAGCAGCAAGTCCTTTATAGCAAGCCAATAAAAAACTCTGTCGTAGGGCGAAAGCAATCCATTATCACATTCCTTCCCAGGTACCCTTCCGGAAATGGTTTCCTGATCATCTCAGCAGACTGTGAACATTCAGCACTCACAGCAGGCCAGTATATAATAGAAAGCTAGCAGCCTCGCTCAAACCTCGTCGTTAAAATCAACTTGCGCTGGAATAAGTTGTCAGGTTGACGGCTGTGTTTGCGCACTGCTCAAATAACGAAAGTAGCACAAACCGACACTTTCGTTGTTTGACACAAACTGACAGAAATGATGAACAGGGTATAACAAACGCTCCATAAGGTTAGCTGAACATACTCGTACGTATGTTGAAAAAAATACGCATCGTTCTCGTTTGTTCCTGGTAAATCGCCTACCTATATTTTGTTTGTTTGTTTTGTTTTGTTGGGTTAGGCCCTTTCGGTCGACAAGACCATTGCAGAGCCGGAAGGAAGATAGGAATTAGGGGGAGACATTGGTCTGGGCAGGCACCCTAGTGAGTAGCCGGGGCTGAGCCCGTCCAGAGGACAGGCCACCCAGCCCCAAGGCACTCACTGCACCCGGCTACGGGGTGCGCTCCCTCAGGAGCAGCGGTGCCGCTCCAAGGGAGCAGCCCGCATGAGATAAAGTTGCCTGTCCAGCCCGGAGGGGGGTAGCGGCGTGGAGGAGAAGGATTTCAGTATCCTGAGGATAGAAGCACGGATAGGTGCCTACCTATACACTAGCAAATGTTTTGATTCTGGTCGTTGAGGTGACATTAGATACATTATTCGATTTGGAAGCAGTGTTCTAAATTAAAATTACATTTAACTGCATATTTTACATGCCCTATGAGCGATATTGCCTTACATTGAACCGGTTGCGTCCACACGTTCCGGTGCGTCCGGACTACGTGTCTTGCGGTACAGACTACATTCAGGCGTTGTACTGTGCTGCCATCTATCTGAAGGGGATACAACTATTGCTGCAATCAGCGCTCGCTACTGAACCATGTTCGTTCAGAGCCCAATTTCCCACCAACAGTGCCACACACATACTGAACGAGACTTATAAAATCTAACCGGGCACTAATGTTATTGACAGTAGGTAAAGCTCTACAAATTTATGTAACTGCATCTGCAACATACCGTGAACTAGTTATTTCGGTTCCTCAAGTTGTTCGCGTAGGCTGTGCTGTAGCTGTTCCGTCACTGTCAATCTTCATCGCGACAGCATTCGATCGACCAATCCATACCTACCCACACCAATCCGTACCCAGCTACACCAACACCTACACCGCTATACCCTACTGCGATCGGTTAGCTCTGTCGTCGAGCAGAGATCAGTCAGCATCAGTCGCCTATCTCGGTCACGGTCGTCGCAGTCGGCGCCAGCTCAGCCCTAATGGCAATGCCAGTCCGACTGACGGCTGACCGACCCACACGGCCCGAAAAAAGTCACGGAGAGAGGGGAAAGAGAGAGAGAGAGAGAGAGAGAGAGGGAGGGAGGGAGAGGGAGAGAGAGAGAGAGGGAGGGAGAGGGAGAGAGAGAGAGAGGGAGAGAGAGAGAGAGAGAGAGAGAGAGAGAGAGAGAGAGAGAGAGAGAGAGAGAGAGAGAGAGAGAGGCCACAGCGCGCGGACGACGCGCGGACGGCGGACCCGACAGGCCGTCAAGGGTGGCTCACTGGCTCACCCCTACTCTGCCTCCCCTCCCTCCGACCGCTCCGAGCGTCATTCTCCGCCCGTCCGGTGTTTTATTACACACTAATGGGATTTGAGTTATGGGCTTCTCAGCCTTTTCCAAGCGAGTGACTCAGAAAACTCTTCTGTCGCCGGTATAAATCCGGTAATGCGATCTTTTCATCAGAGGAACTTTCTTCAGACAACGAGTCGCACTCCTCATTGATATAAACTAAAACAGTGTTATTGATGTGATGAAGGAGCTGAATATATATGACAGGCTAAAGGAATAAATCTTAGATATTCATGCAACACTTAGAGTTTTCCATGAATGTAGTACAAAAAAAAATGGTCAAATGTTTATCACGGGTTTGTAAGAGGCTGCCCCAGAGGCCATGCCAAACTTGGCGGCGCTGCGCGCCGCCGTTTTTTTTTACGTTATTTGCAAAAAAAAAAACTTAGGGGGAGTTGCATCAACCCCCCTCCTCACCGGGAGAGGGTTAAATCAGCAGAGGCATGCTGTAGGTTCTGATGCCACATAATTGGCCATTGTCACTTATTTACAAACCACGCCATTTACTCAGTCCCAAAGAAAACACCTACCGCAATCTATCGCATCCAGCGACGTCCATCAATGCCCACCAATTAGGCCGCCATTAACAATTCAGACGCCACACAATCTCTATGCATGTGATGGGCCGACATAACGGCAGTTCGCGTTCATCAATTATCCACCGCCCGCGGCCGGGAGGGCGGCGGGCCGGTGGGCACTGGAGCGGGCGGGCGGTGGGCGGTGGACCGTGGGCGGTGGCGGAGGTCGGGCGGTAGACGGCGGGGCGGTGGGCGGTGGCGGCCGTGACTGCGGGCCCAGACAGGCGGCGGAGGTCCAAACAATATCGCCCCAGGCCACATCAGTCACCAGCGACGAAAACGGACCGACACGGTGGCGGGCCGGCAGGAAAAAGATGATGCATCGGGTATTGACCGCGTCCGGCCAGCAGGAACGTCACCAGAAACTATAGCCTGTGGTATTGGATGGAGGGCTGACTCATTGGATTACTTCAGTAAGACTTGTTATTGCATTCATGTTATTTCTTTGAAGGCCATTGCCCTACCAACCAAGGTCCACATCGGTGTCTCCTAGGGATCCATACCGTGACCACTGTCCACCTTATACATATATGTGTAAGACCGTTATGTAACTCCTGATCTCAGTGGACCGAGCACGACCCCAGCTACCTACCAGGGCGACCAGTCTTGATGCTGATTTCCTATAACTCGCAGCGCTGTCTGATCATCTGTGAAGCCTATCAGTCTCACCGACAGATGACAGAACCGTGTCGACGGCACAGCTCCAGCTCAGTGAGCCGATGAATCTGTCGTCGCATGGGTGAAACCAATCTACAGGTGATAAAACCGCGGGGCAACAGAGCTTTACATGGTCACAACTACCCCTTGATGAATTCGCAGCTCGCACCTTCCATTTGACAATGATAGTAGATCTTTACTAACATTAGTTATTACGATTATTCTTCAGTGAACATAGCTGTTTCTCACAGCGTTTTACTTTTTACCTTTTGAAAGATCGTGCATTTCTGGTATCAACGAAGAGTCAAACGAAGCCTTTCCCGCAGCTTCATCAAGCCAAATTCCCACTAATAGTTTAATCGTGCCGGCTTTGTCGATGCGCCAAAACACCATTCTTCTCCGTCCTATTAGGGGAGGGTTCGGCCAGCATCAGCTGCGTCAGCGTTTTGAGCGAGTGCCACAGCAGTGTTGGCCGCGCTCGGCTCGGCAGTATCCCGTTCAACGCCGGGTTATTCTGCTGACGGCCTGCGATCGCACTAATTACTGGACCGAGCTCACGCAGCACGCGGCGAGACGGCCGTCCGCGCACCGAGCGACGCTCATCGACAGCGACGAACGCCCCCTCCCCACCCCGGAGACACCCCGCTCCTCCCAGCCTCCTCCCTCCCCGTCCCACCTTCCCGGGGGCTGCCCCACCCCCAACGGCCACCCCGCCGATCGACTCCGTATCGCCCCGCTCCGACAACGCCACCGGGACAAAGTCGCCGTCCATTTCGCGGTCATCGGAGGGCTGATACTAAGCTGTCAACGCCGCCCGACTATCTTCTTCCGCTTCACCGAAGCCAAACTATGGAAGATTGAGAAGCCCACCGGGGCCGGTCGAGCGGCTCCTGACAGCAGTGCCGCTGCAGCCCCCTCCCCCCTCCCCTGCGTCGCCGCCTGGCAGTGCCGGTCTCCATGAACACTGACTTTGGCTGACGGCACGAGGTGCTTCTGTAGCATAGCACAACACGGTTTTATTTGACTGCCGGCTTAGCTTAGTTGACTAAAGAGATTAAGGTATTAGGCAGGGGTTAAGCACTGAAAACAAAGGCTTACCTTTCTGAAAATCCCAGCACTTTCTCAGCAATAGTACCCTGCACTCTTCGTAGTAGGTCAGGCCACCATGGCAAGAGCAGCGTTCATCCAATTCACTTCCAATCTCTGTCCAACGTTAAACGTCTTACACTCACCGCACGGATACTGTCCACTACACTAAATTTCAACACCACTCACCACTTTTCTCGGTCTCAAACACTGGCACGATCCACTTATCAACGCGGCCAGCGCCCGTCACTTTCAATCCTCAGTTTCACGGTCGACTACACGCAGTCTCTCCGGGTGTCCAAGCCACTGGGTTCTTCAGACGGTCACCTCAGGAGTGCTCGGCAACGTCGGCGGCTGCAGAACTCGTCACCCGCTCCGCTGGTGAATGTCCGACAGAGTGACGGCTCGGTGGATTTTTAAGTGGTGACCGGGCGACCTACGCGGACGACAGATGCCCTGTCCTCACCAGCTGACCACGGCGAAGGGCAAAGAGTGGCTCTGCGTCTTCGGTTGGTGTTTGTGAAAAGCAGATATCAGCTATTCACGGATACCTGGAAAGAAGAAACGAGCGTTAGTATTTGCGTTTTATGACAAAAGATTAATTACATTTTTGACATGCTTAAAGGCGACATAAGTTTTCCCCCAACCATGTGATACGACGGGTATTTACGGGGATGAAATGACAAGCATTGAAGGATGAAACTATGCCGAACATTTGCAATATTGTAAGAATTTTGCATACTTTTACACCATCTTGCAACGATACATGCCTCGTTAACAATATGCAAAAAAAGATATAAAACTTGGAGGAGATAAAACAAAAAAGACATGCTCCTACAGCACTCGACCGATATCACCCAGGGAAAAAAAGGCTAAGCGTTGATCTGCTGCAGCCTACCACCAGTGATCAGCGAGAGGCGGCTGTACAGAGGGGTGTGCTGTAAATGTGACAGATATAGCGCCTTCCCCCATGATACGGCCAGTGGCGCAGCTGAGACAGAGGGACGGGAGGCAGAGAACAGAGGGAAAGAGGGCGGAGAACAGAGGGCGATATGATGGAGAGGCGACGGCAGGAGGACAGGCGATCGGAGAAAGGTGGATGAAGAAGAACAGAGAAGATGCCAAGAGAAGATGGATGCAACGAGGAGAGAGGAAGAGGAGATAGCAGAAGAAAAGAGATCACGGACAAGGAAGACAAAGAAACTGGGAAGTAGATGAAAAGAATGAAAATGGTCTTCATATACACTGAGAAGAAAGAGCGAGAGAGGAGAGGCCGAAGAGCAAGAGGTGGAGAGAGAGAGAGAGAGAGAGAGAGAGAGAGAGAGAGAGGGGAGAGGGGGAGAGAGAGGAGCAGACGGACTGAGTGAGTCAACTAGTTAGAGCGGGAAGAGTGATGAGGGGAAGGGGAGAGGCCACGGCGGGCCGCACTGATAACGTTTTTGCTCGCGCGGCGCGTTGGAACAATCAGTATTCTGCAAGGAGAATATTGGGCGGGTCAGAGCCGAGGGGCAAAACACTGGACGCGCCCTTGGTCCAATGATACGACCACTAATAGCATTTTCTCATTGGCACGGCGCCGCCGGGCCGGCCGGCATCCTGGAGCTTTGTTCGGCCAGCTCGCCCGTAACAAAGCTCGCCGAGCGGCCGGCGCGGTGCCGGCGGTCGCGGTCGGCTCGTGGCCGCTCGCGGTCGGCTCGTGGGTCCTGCAGCGCGACTCTCGGTGAACCGACCCGGCACAGGATCTCGGCCGCCCGCTATATTGCCGTTTGTGTCCCGCCGTGCCAGGCCACTATTGCAGGGCCATCCGCTGCATTACGGCCGGCCGTTCACTTCAGAAACAGAGGGCCCGTGCCACATTATTGGATGACAAAGTTGTCTTCTGGCCATGACGGAGTCTTAACCGCCGAGCAATACAGTACATCTTACCAGAAACTGTAGCGATGCTAACTTACGGACCGGCGAACGAGATAGTGCCCATTAAGTGCCAGCATGATATGACCCATCCATCAGGGATTGGCACCCCGGAGAGGACCGCCTCTCCGGACGGGGCAGGCAGTCCCACGGCAGTTCACTTCAGAAACAGACAGTCTGCTTCACATTATTGGATCGCAAAACCGCTTTAATCCGGCTCAGCCGTCTTAGCCGTCCACGACGAAACTTTAAAATCAAACCAGTTGGACCATAAATAAGTGCGGATGACCGGCCGGACCACGATGACCGTTCGCTGACCGCCGGGACCGATCCATCTGTCTGACCGTGACCGCTGAGGGACGCCGCCTCGCCGGGGGGGGGGGGGGTGGCTCTTCATGGACGGGGCGGGGCGGGGAGAGTTCATGGGCCACAGAGGACCGGCCGCCGGCTCCAGGGCAGTCCGTCAACGCAGCCGTTCGGACAGCCGGAAGTATTCAGGTCGAGCAGAAACGGTAATCGAACCGCTTCAAACCGAAGACAGTCCACCACCGTGGCATTATTGCACAGTGAAAAAAAAATGGAGTCTTAAATGCACTTCTCACACCTTGCTAATATATTAGAACGACGATGTGTGATAGACATCATATATTGTCGTTCGCTTAATCTTAATGAATTTCACGAGTTTTCAATATCAAAACTTAATAATAAAAAAAACTGTACAACAACCTAATCGAAAAGAATTAGCTAGCTAGCACATGCATGTATCAGCATTTTGAGTCAAGATCCAGTCCTCCCTGCTCGACTCAGCCTGTCGCCTTATTGATGCGCCTCAACGGATCTACAAGCACATTGCTGACAAGTCAGTGACGAAGCGTGCCTATGTAGTTATTCCGCGCTACATCATCAGGCAACATCCACAGAAAGCCGCCCTCCCATCCGACGGCACAGAGACCCGATGACAAATCTGCTGCCGGGCCGCAGAAACATCAGAGTCGGTCTGATGACTCGGTGGCGCCCCATGCATCACTGATATCGCACCGGCGCGCACACATGAGCTCCCGGGCGGCCGGCCGGCACTCGAGCGGCGGCGGGGGCGGGGGCGGGGGCGGCTGGATCTCGCCCGGTGCCCCCGTGACGGATGAGGCCGCCGCCAGAGCCGTCAGCGGCCGCCGCCAGACCCGCCGCCGCCGCCATCTGATGCCGCTACTGACGCCGCCGCCGCCGGGGGAGACGGCTTTGTCCAGTCATCGCCAGCCGGGCAGGAGCCGACGGCGGGGGACTGAGAATGAGGGGGAGAGGTGATGTACGACTACGGTTGTCTCCTCTACGACAGACGATGTCTGAGCAATGTCTCGGAGACAGTGATGCATCAGTGTCCGTCCAGCGTGTTTCTGAGCATTCATCAGTGATGGCTCGGAGCACCTACTGGTGTCTCGAAACTCACCAAAGCGATGTCTAGCACCAAACCTGTCGATGACTCCTGAAGCTCAGTTACTTTTTCAGCCACGACCAGCCACTGGCGACACCAGAAGCAGCGATGTCGGCAGAGAGAAGTCCTCAGAAGGAGATAGCCTCCACCGACCAGGCTAAGACCCCTCACGACAAAGCGAGCCGGACCGGCATCGATTCGAGGCTTTGCCGTTTCGTGTTGAGTTGGAGGGATCCGGCTGCATCACTCTGCAGAGCTCGGAGCAGCGAGCAGTACACTGTTATCCCATTAATGGGCGGGACCAGGAGGCATCGGCTCTATTGTGGAGCACCCAGCCAGGTATAGGTACGGGGCATTCAGAGTGGGAGACGAAATTCACCCTCTGTTTGGGACACGCGGAAGCTAATGGTCTCCATTTCTCCTTTGATGCCGTTAAAAGCGCTGAATATTGCAAGCTTGGATGGAAAGACTTGGTATGCAATTTTAATGGCATCTCTTGGGTCCCATACGGAACAGCAATAGGCAGCTTTTCAATCTTGAATCACTGAGCCAAAAAAAAAAGAAGAAATTCTTCTAAAATGTCTGTTTTACTATACGCATAAATGGTAAGGCAACTAAAAGACGAAAAGAATATGTGCGTTTCAGCACTTTATTTTTAATGTGCATTTGCATAAAGGCAAATGTTCACTGACGACAGAGGAATGCAAATTCAGAAAAACAACTAGTTTCATTTCCTTGGTATCGAAAATTTCGTCGCACTTAGTGAATCTCCCCCTACTGATGGCTCACAGCCAGTTCTGGATGCCTGCAAGTCATGATAAAATATATTGCGGACGGCTGTTCAAGACAACGCAAAAGCAAGTAATAAATCAGTAATAAATCCCATATAAAATGCACACCTCACAGCAGCTACAATGCAGTGCACATTGTTGCGGGACACTGGGCTTCCTTTATTCTCGGTTCATTTGAGGACCAGGACCATTTGTTGCCACTTTATGGTACTGGCAGCGGGATGAGCCTCCTAGGCCAACCCTGCAGATAGTGGGCCGAGTCTGTGCTGGCAAATTGGCGTCGTTTCAGGACGGCATACCCTCCTACTTTGGTCCAGGCTGTGACCATGGTCTCACAGCGTCAGTCCAGTGCAGTCCGCGATCCTTTGAGCGCTGGTCCAGTGCCCATCTAGCACCGCGCCGGTCCGATCCGGCCCACATGGTCCCGGACTATAAAGTGTCCTACCAGAATCACTTCGGTCCGCCCCTCCCCCTCCCTCTGCACTGGTCCCGGATTTCAGTGCCGTCTCCCAGTTCAGTCTGGCCTCCCATACTCTCGCTCCTAACTCTGGTCCCGGATTGCAGCGCCCCCTCCCAGCCCGGGAGACCGCCGGGATCCGGGCCAACTCCACCGCGGCGACCGGCACCGCAAACGGCCGACTGGTGGCCTTTCAAACTGCCCAAAACTACTACATCTTTCAGCCGCACGACTCCCGAAAGTCAGCAAATCAATTCAGCAGGATTTGCTGTTTACATTAAAGCTTGCTAACTTTCTCTCATCGATTTTCTTCTGAAAACAGTTAAACCCAAATTCCGGCTTCACGAAACTGGCGTCGGCACGAGTTCGGACGAAAAAAGTTCCCGGATGAAAAAGAAGTCGACCGGTCGGAACTGCCAGATAGCCGGCGTCCAATCCCGAGTCTATTCGGCCCGCATTCGGCATCTATTCGACGAGCATTCGGCGTCTATGCCAGCCGGGCGTCGTGCCGAATCCGGCTGTGCTTTTTCCTCGTCTGTCCGGCCCAATATTGTGGTGCACGTCGGACGGCATTTCAAATCTGTTGACCGTCAATAAAGGACCGAATGGGCCGGACCGAGGGGAAATTGAAATGTCCCGCCGAGGACGCTGAAATTGAAGTGTCAGCGGAGCACCTTTGAAACGTGAGCCTGCTCCATCGATCTCTGCGCAGCTTGGTTTGTGTCTCTGTAGGCAATCTGCGACAGAGGAGCCGGCGGCGGCCGCCGCCCTTTGGACTGCTCTCGAACGATTAAAATATCCTCGAGCAGCCTGGCGCACAACTTTGGAGGCAAACGAGTCTCTCGAAGCGCCGCGGGACATGATAAATGTCTGCGATCAATGCTCCACCTCGGTGGTGCGTGGGCCTGCCAAAGCTGCACTCCGATTCATCAGAAAATCCCAGCGTGTTGAGACAAGGCATTC